AGAGTGGCCCGTGGTCACTTGCCCAGCCGGGCCATGCCCGGCCAAAACAATAAAAATAAAAAAAAAAAAACAATATTTTTTAAAGTTTATTTTTTATTTTAAATTTGGTGAAGAATTTCAATGTGACCATGAGGCAAACGTTGTTCAGTTTATTTTTCTGCATAACATAGTTATTTTGTGGATTTTTTTTTTTTTTTTTTTTGCTGGGACCTTCCCTGGTCCTTGCTGGCCACCCGGGACCCGGGCGGCCCAGCTGGTAGCCTAGCCGAATACAACATTCGGTCATTATAGCTGTATTTGAGGCATCTTTCCGTCTAGATACAACTATAATGACCGTACGTTGTATTCGAGGGAAGAAGGTAGGACTTTTCTAACGGCAATGATGCCTGGAATCACGCCCGTAGGTGAGTCTAGAAGGGTCTTAGGGCGTGCTGCACTGCTCCGGAAATGCACACAAGACAAAAAACATGGCGATGTATAGGTCCTTGTTCTAGGGGAAGATTCACTCTCGTTTTGCACATTTCAAGAGTGGTGGAGCGAGGCCCATTGTCAGGAGTATCCGTTGTCCAAAAACGGGGAGCGAGGCCCAGTGTCAGGAGTATCAGTTGTCCGAAAACGGAGCCACGCCCCATGAGGATGTCACGGACGTTCTCTTTCTCTTTTTTTTTTTATAGCAATAGCACCAAGGAAACACAACTGTCAGTTCTGTCATTTTCTATATCTGGAAGTAATGACAGCCATTGACAGGAGAGCAACGGTTCCACAGACGCGTCCTCATCATGACTGTATTGGACCTCTGAAAGGACTCGGATACACTGGAGATAGCATGGAGTTGTGTACAGCAAACATGACGACACACCGAGTTTTTCGCGCAGCTCGGCCCTGAAAAAACATTGCGCGGGCGATGTCCGAATTTTAGCTGGGCGTGGGAACTTCGATTCACCCTCTCCCCAACTTTTTTTTTTTTTTGGTTGACCCCGAACTTTGCCCATGTGGCGCACCGGGTGCGCGCGCCACGTGCGCAATGCGCAGTGCGCCGCATGTGCGCGAGTGGCGCGCATGGGATGTGCCGCAAGTACAAGCTATATTCTTCTCTCGATTTCACCCTTCATTATCTGCCTGCCACTTCTCCTAAGCCTATACGGGGGAACTCTGCAAGCATACCCACTGGTGGTTAAATCAGCAGTACATGGCCATAATGCCGCCACATCCAACCCAAAAAAAAAAAAATTGTGATCGAGTCACTCCGGAAATTCCGGGCGTTGGGGAAGGCCCGGTAGTGCAAAATGGGGAAGCAAGCCAGAGGGCCTATGAATCCCCCGCGCACGGCCAAGGTCGTGGCCAGTAGAGGGGGGGGGGGGCAGGTGCTGGTTGGGGTTGAGTAACCCCATCCCTGCCCCTTGGCACGACACAAAACAAAACAAAAAAAAAAAAAAAACGAGTTTCTGCGGGCCGAGGATGGGAGGAGGGGGGGGGGTGAAAACGAATTTTCAAAAAAAAAACCTTCATTGAGTGATTGGGATGTGGTCGATTGATGGACTGACTGATTGATTGATTGTTTGGGATGGGTTGATTGATTGATTGATTGGTGGGGCAGGGGTTCCCCCCCCCCCCCACACACACACACTGAAGCGCATTGTTTTTATACATTTTTTCTTTCTCAATTTGATTGATTGATTGATCAATGGGTGGGTGGGAGAGGGGTCGCCTCCCCTCCCATGCACACACACGCACACACACCCACACACACACAACATACACACACACACACACACACACACACACACACACGCACACACACACACACACACACACACACCCTCGCGCCATTCTTTTTTCACTTTTTGTTTTTCAATTTATGGATTGATTGATTGATTGATTGGTG